TGGATAACACTATGCTAAAGAAAATACTTTCAGTTTGGGCCAGCCCCGTGGCTTAGCAGTTAAGTGCGCGCGCTCCGCTGCTGGCGGCCTGGGTTTGGATCCCGGGCGCGCACCGACGCACCACTTCTCTGGCTATGCTGAGGCCGTGTCCCACGTACAGCAACTAGAAGAATGTGCAGCTATGACATACAACTATCAACTGGGGCTTTGGGGGGAAAATAAATAAATAAATAAAATATTTAAAAAAAAGAAAATACTTTCAGTGTTTATACATTAGTGTAAGTTAACCCACCTAGATATTTTGTTTTCTTCTTAAAATTAGATTTTGATGAAACAGGACATTCTGCATATGGAATATTTTTGGGGCCCTGAATGAGGACTAGGTATTATGACTGGAGAATTTGATCAAGTCCTTTATAACAACATGAGGGCTTCAGGGCCCAATAAAAGGGACATGGAAAGGAAGGCAAGGAAAACCACCCATTTCATTTTATCTAGGGCCAGATGAGGACTTGGAAATACTTAGTATGATAACAAAGGGGAGGAAATGTTTCCAATGGTCTAAAATTGACAAAACGCAGGGCCGGCCCCGTGGCTTAGCGGTTAAGTACGCGCGCTCTGCTACTGGCGGCCCAGGTTCGGATCCTGGGCGCACACTGACACACTGCTTCTCCGGCCATGCTGAGGCCGTGTCCCACATACAGCAACTAGAAGGAAGTGCAGCTATGACATACAACTATCTACTGGGGCTTTGGGGGAAAAAATAAATAAAATTTAAAAAAGTAAAATAAAATTCACAAAATGCAGAGCTATTAGCTGAAGTACTTATACTTAGTTCAGCTACTTATGGATTACATGAGCTTCCATTGACCACTGTAGGAAATTAACTAGTTATACGTTGCTTAATGACGGGTATACGTTCTGAGAAATGCATCATTAGGCAATTTGGTTGTTGTGTGAACATCACAGAGTGTACTTACACAATCCTAGATGGTATAGCCTACTACGCACGTAGGCCATATGGTACTAATCTTATGGGACCACCATGGTATATGCAGTCTGTCGCTGACCCAAATGTCATTATGTGATGCGTGACTGTACCAATTGTTCCAATGGAGAAATGAGCTGAGAGTTCTAATCAACCTATTTATCTACAAGTTCAGGATTGTTTATTAGAGAGGGGCTAATCCTTTCAACCTTTTAAATAGTGACAAAGTCCTACCAATTAATTATTATTTTTACAGGGAAACAAATTTTGATCTTTAAAGAATCATTTGTTAACGTGTAAGTAGTAAAAGGGAATTAGGATTTGAATAGTTATCAAAATTCAAAGGTGGTTTTACAAAACTCTGGTCTTTAGCTGCTTTCTAATTATTAGCTATTCTGTTTCTATGAATAAGGATGTGAATGAAAAAGCCCACCTTCACGCTCATGACATGCACTATGGGAGAGGACAGAGCAGACAGAATTTGTCAGAGTCCTCCTTGGAGGCTGTGATCCCTGGCCAGAGTAAGTATTAGAGTTCTGTCTGATATGGTGCCCAATCACACACACCAACAGAGAGAAAAACTTATAAAGTTTAAAAAAAAAAAGTGCATGTCAGGTTAATGTTCTGCCATAAAGATTAAGCCACCTGGAGAATCCAATCCAAGGTAGGCTGAAAGCTCTTCAGTCCCCAAATCTGAGCCATGCAACTAAGTCTTTGCTGAAGTCTGCTCCACTGTTGTAACAGTCTGGTCTTAAACAGAGCCTCCCCACAGGTTATTACACACTGGGGGTTTTGAAGGGCTTCTGGTTATCATTAGAAAAGCCAGACATGGACAAGACCAGAGATGAACCTGTCCTACAGTGAAGACCTTCGCCACTGTGAATAAGATTTTGTTTTATGAATGCTTAAACATGTTTTCTTCATATGGATTCACTTACATGAAGAGACGCCCGCCAAGCCGGTACTTAAGCACAGCACTGTAAAGGCGGGTGGTGAAATAGGAGGAAGACTGTTAACGAATAGGCTAACAAATCCTGCTTCATTCTAGTCTGCTCACAATCCTTTTTCAATCAAGTACCAGTGTGAAGACTCACCTTTCTCCTTAGCCAAAGGCCAGAATGAAGTCGAAGAAACCTATAGATGACAGCTTTCACAGTCTTTCTCTTGCCTTTTCGTGAACTGAAGTATGTTACAGTTCTGACTGGTAGCTTCAGGATATTTGGAAGCAAGGGGACCACTCTAAAATATATTTTAAAAATTTTAAAATAAAATTTTATCAGCAATAAAGCTTGGAAATTTTGTCCAGTTATGTTTACTGAAATATACTCTACCTATTGAAGATTCTTGCCGTATGCCCCCATGTCAGGTTTCTGACACATGTGATGAGCCTGGGAGCAGAGGAAACAACTGGTGTCTGCACATGACTAAAATGTCGGGTGGACAGTGTAGAACTAAGACAGGCATTCCTGGTGCAGTTTCGATAGGCTGAAGACGCCAAAATATTCAGGGGCCGTAAGATTCCTGTAAAGAGAGAGAAGTATACACATTTAATAAAATACTCCAAAATATGCATCCAGATATTTAAAATTAAGTAATATATCAAAGCAACCAGGGGCCAGCCCGGTGGCACAAGCAGTTAAGTGCGCGTTCTGCTGCGGCAGCCTGGGGTTCGCCGGTTCGGATCCCGGGCACTCACTGACGCACCGCTTGGCGAGCCATGCTGTAGCGGCGTCCCATATAAAGTGGAGGAAGATGGGCACGGATGTTAGCCCAGGGCCAGTCTTCCTCAGCAAAAAGAGGAGGATTGGCAGATGTTAGCTCAGGGCTGATCCTCCTCACAAAAAAAAAAAAAAAACAAAGCAACTAAGTGTTTACATAATTAATGTGTCCTGAGCATCAGACTCACTTGTGGAGCTTTTCACCAACTTTACTGAGGTATAACTTACATACCACAAAATTACCCATTTGTGTACAATTCAGTGCTTTTTAGTAAATTTAGCGAGTTGTGCAACCATCACTACAATCCAGTCTGACGTGTCCTAGTTCTGTGTTCAACAGTAGGGAACAAAATATATGTAACAGTAATTGCCACCTGCCAGATCTTATACCCTGATGAGACAGACCTCCAGCACATACTGCCATGGCAGGGCAGAGACATGAAAGCCTGACAACTCCCTGGAGAGAAAACAGAGTGGCAAGAGAAGGATTCAGAAAGAAAACAGAGGGTGGGCCCCATGGTTTGGCGGTTGAGTGAGCGCGCTCCACTGCTGGCGGCCCAGGTTCGGATCCCGGGCACTCACTGACGCACCGCTTCTCCGGCCATGCTGAGGCCGCGTCCCACATACAGCAACTAGAAGGATGTGCAGCTATGACATACAACTATCTACTGGGGCTTTGCGGGGGGGGGGGAGGAGGAGGATTGGCAATAGATGTTAGCTCAGAGCCGGTCTTCCTCAGCAAAAAGAGGAGGATTAGCATGGATGTTAGCTCAGGGCTGATCTCCCTCAAAAAAAAAAAAAAAAAAAAGAATGTGCATGTTGAAAGAACTCCCCAGGATGATGGAAATGTCCTAAAACTAGACTGTAGTGATGCTTGTACAACTCACTAAATTTACTAAACCTCATCAAATTATGCACGTAAAACAGGTAATTTTATGGTATATAAATTATACCTCAATAGTTGGTTAAAAAAAATTCCACAGGTGAGTCTGATGCTCAGCCAGGGCTTAGAACCACTGCCTTATTGTCCACTGCACTGATTTCACATAACAAATGACGGGCAGTGTGGGGTAGAAGTCAAGTGCTAAGGTTTCAGTCAGACTGTTTGGGTTCATATTCTAGCTCTACTACATACTAACTATGTGACCACAGGCAAGTTACTTAACCTTTCTGTGCCCCAGTTTCCTCAAATTTAAATGAGGTTAATCATGGGGAAGTAATAAGAATAAAATGAGGTAAAACATGTCAAGTGCTAGGAAGAGTGCCTGGCACCGAGAAAAACATTTAATGAATGCTAATAGTAGATAATAAAGAAGAGCTGAGGAATGCTTAGCAAAGATGGTATAATGTTAACAGGTGGCAGAAGGAAGACAACACTTAAAACCTTTATTTTGCTTTTCTGTTTTCCATCAAAGATAATAACTTTCACACTGAAGAAGGCAGCATAAACATTAATCAGTTAGCTGAAATCCAAGATTCAAGGGACTGGTGAGAGAGCCCTTATACTGTGCCCTTGCAAGTCAAGTTCTCTACTCAAGGCCAGCATTCAAGTCTCCAAGTATAAATAACTTATATCTCAAAGAACTGAAAATATCTGCAGACATGCTTACAAGCCAGGAGGTAATCTTTGAAAGATTAAGTCAATCCAAGAGGAGGATTAAAGACAAGAAAATGTCCTAATTTTCATAGATCATCAGAGCTTGATATATCTCAGTTAAAAAACAAAAACTCATAGAAATTCTTGGAAACCAGCCCTGAAGGAAGTGAGCAGATAAACTACAGGCTCATCTGTAGGAAAAAATGTTAGAATGGATAAATAAATAGGAAGTATAGGAAGTGCACAGGAAAAAAAAATATCGTCAACTGGGAGTGAATTGTTCCTTAAAAAGAACTTCACCTCATTTTTTGATGCAGTCACTAGCCTGGGAAATCATGGGAATGTCTAGACACCATGTATCTGACTTTAGGAAGGCATATGAAAGGTTTCTTTATATTCTAAAGAAATACAGAAATGTGGGCAGGATAATAGTACAGTTAGGTAAATTCCAAGGTGACTGGAAACTATCCCCAAGTTAGCTGATTGCTGTTCTCCTGGTGAAAAGTCTCTTCCTGGCTCCCTAATGGACTCTATTTTTTCCCCAATTTTTACGAAGGTGCTGAAGCTGCATAAGGCATGTTTATCAAATCTGCACACAAACCAAGCAGGGAACCATGACTTATTGACATATACTATCTGGACTCAAAGTGATTTCAGTAAGAGAGAGAAATGGATCAAAATTAACAAGATGAAACCGGGGATAAACACACTGAGGCTAGAAAAAACGGTTACTGGAACAGCAGGAAGGGTGAACCTGGCTTGAAAGCAGTTCCTGGGAAAATGACTTGGGGGTCTTTATCCACCATACCCTCTGATGGAGCAACCATGTGATCTGGCTTGTAAAAACCGAACAGAATCTTAACTCAGACTGTGTTAACAAAACAGCAGACAAATCAAGGGCAGTAATTAACTGCTCCTTCAGTCTTCTGCCATGTTTGGGTATTTTAATATAGGCTGGCTTTCGATAAACACACTCTTATATGGAGAACACAGACATTTTCACAAAGTGACACAAAACCAGAGTTTTGAAGAAATAAGAGAGGCAGAGAGAACAGGAGGCACACAGACGAAGAGACAAAAACTGTCTAGTACGTTTGGGGAATTACAAATAGCCCCGTGTGGCAGGAATCAAAAGTATGGTGGGGGGTGGGACGGGGAGGTGCGCGTGACAGTGCATAAGTAGTGGTCTTCAAGCTTTTTCGATCCCATACCCTCTAAAAGAATTTTGAAAAATTATGTACCCTTTCACAAAATTTTACGTCATATCTAAAATTTTAAATTGTTTAAATTGCTATAAAGGGGCCGGCCCCGTGGCTCAGCGGTTAAGTGCGCGCGCTCCACTGCTGGCAGCCTGGGTTCGGATCCCAGGCGC